CAGCTCACACACAGCCAGGGTGACCCCTCTCCGGTGGCCTGGGCATGGGATTTAGGAGACTTGAGTGTAATCATTCCTGAGGAGGAACTACTGTGTGACTTTTGGCAAATGGATAGCCTCTCTGAGTTCCATTACTTCAACCTTCAAGTGAGGGTGTTAAATGGGGTACTGCAGATGTCTTCCATGTAACCCTGCAGCTGGAGCAGGTCTGCCCTCCTTTTTTCCTTCGTGGTTAGCTTAACTGCTGGAGGAGCACGGTTGGGAGGGCAGGTGAGCTGTGGGCCAGGCGCTTGGCTGGTGGTGCCGAGCCCCTGTCTCAGCCAGTGGTGCTGAGCCCTCTGAAGGTGCACTGCGGTGACCAGTCRGATCTTAACAGGGCCTCACACATGAGGCTCAAATGTGGCTTCACCATAAAGAGAGCAGGGAGTCTTCCTGTTATGGGTAGAGGCCAGGCTGAGACCTGTCAGGTAACAGGCCACAGCCACCCGGCCAGTCAGAAACAGGGACCCTCAGGAACCTTGTCCCCCAGGACGCTTGCTTCTGAAGAACATGGTGAAAGAAGTCTCCTTTCAAGGGTCCCCTCCTTGTCTCGGGACACGWAGGGATGCCTGCAGATGTTTAAGAGTTTATTTTCATTTTTTAATAAATTGGTTTATTCTAATTAGGTATGTGCAGCAGCAGAGTGCACTTGATTCATTGCACACAATTGCAGCACGACTCTTCATTTCTGTGGTTGTACCATACGTGCAGTCACACACRAACCTAGGGTAATGATGTCCATCGCATTCCACCGTCTCTCCTGCCCCCATGCCCCCCTCTCCCCTCTTCCCAGTCACAGTTCTTCTGTGCCCACCCAGCTCCCCAGTATGGCTCAGCACCCACTTTTCAGAGAGAACTTTTGGCCTTTGGTTTTGGAGGATTGGCTTACTTCACTTAGCATGATATTCCCCAGCTCCACCCATTTACTTGCAAATGCCATGACTTCGTTCTTTTTTTATGCTCAGAAATATTCCATTGTGCATATGTACCATGGTTTCTTTATCCAAGGRTGCCTTTCTTTATCGAAGGGCATCTAGGTTGGCTCCCCAGTTTAGCTATTGTGAATTGAGCTGCTATAAACATTGACGTGGCTGTGTTACCGTAGTAAGTCTGCTTCTTTCTGGCCTGTTTTAAAAAGAAAGTCCCTGCCCCGTTCGCTGACATCCCACTCCCATGCTGGTGGGACTGCGAGGAAGTGCAGGACACAGCTGGTCAGAAATGGGAAGGGCCAGGTGCGTGGGGTGGTGAGGAGCCTGCTTGGCACGCAGAAGGCCGGCTCCAAGGCAGGGAGCAACACAAAGCCCTGTGATCACGAGCTAGTCACAGGGAGCTTGACAGTGTGTCCCAGTCCTTGTTCCACAGAAGTTTGGGTGGCCAGGGCAGGAGGTGGGCAGCCCAGGCGGGATCCCCGGAGCCTGTGGGCTGGCAGCAGGGAGGCTTCCTGGGGTCCCCTCTGAGTGGCTCCCTGCTGGAACTGCTTTCCACCACCCTGAGGTTCTGTCTTTCCCAGTGGCCAGCRGTGGGGAAGCAGCAGAACAGAGCTGGTTCGTCCACGTGGGGTAGGACGGGTGTCATGGGGTCACAGGCAGGCCCTCCAAGTGTRCAGGTGGGCTCCTGCCAGGCCCAGCCAGGTCAAAGCTGTTCCCAGTTCTCCACCGCCCTCGGGACTCTGGTCCCGTGAGCCGTGTGGTAACTGGTCATGAGGTGCCTACCCTCTGGTACCCGTAGGGATGCGAGTGCCAGGCAGGAAGTGAGTCCCTGCTAGGGCCCTGGGGAATGTGTCAGGGGTGAGGATGCTCAGCCTATGGGGTCCCTGTGTGTGCCAGACAGATCTGGGCCCATGCCCAGCGTCCTGTTTGGCAGGTGCTGGGCTGGGCTGGGCTGGGCTGGCAGGGAGCCCCTGCGCAGTCTGGGCCCAGGCCTTGGCCAGCTCTGGTTGCAGTAGTCAGCTGGTTCTGTTCTTGGCCTGGTGCCCTTGGGGACCAGGCTGGCCCTGCTTCCTGGAACCAGTGAATCCTTGTTGGCTACTTCGCCTGTGCTGTCTCAGGRGCCTCTGGAGGCGTGGTGCTGTGGGCAAGTCCTGGGCAGAACAGTCTCTGGCAAGTTCAGAACACAGACCACCTGCCTGAGGCTGCACCGTCCCCACAGCCCCAATACTGACCCTTTTGATGGGTGGACCCTGACACCCGCAGAGTCCCCGTGCCTTTAACTCCTGGGCCCTGGAAGACGTCACAGCAGCGCTGCTGTCCTTCTTTGTGGTGTCTGGAAGGGACAGAAGTCTGCGTCCCAGATCCCAGCGGGGCCTGCCACACAGGCTGGTGCAGTCAGACACCCCAGGAGTGTTCCTGCCTGCGTGGGGCAGTGTGTCCTGCTCTTCAAGAACACCCTGACGCCCTGCCCAGGTGGGCCTGGAGATAGGGGCTGTTTGGAGGGTGCAGCTGGGACCTGGAGCYGGGGAGAGAGGAGGTGGGCAGGAGCTCATCGGAGGGTGACTGCAGGRGCCTGGGCAGGCAGGGATCCCTCCAGCCTGCTGCTGCCTAGAGACCCTCTGTCACTTTTGAACCCGGGAGTCCCTGCAGCCCTGTCATCACATGGGGGTCGGGAGGAAGGGCTTGGCCGTGGGGTGAACCTGGCTGGGTTGCCCGTGGAGGAGGGCGCTGCCTTATCTCCCTGGCCCAGGCTGTTGCTGTGAGCCCACGCAGCTGCGCTTATCGGGCCACACAGGGTACCCTGAGGGCGCCAGCCTCCTGCCCGTGCCCCCTCTTTGATGTGGCACAGCTGCTTTCTGTGTCACCTGCTGTAGGGTGGTGAGCTCCTACGAACTGGCATCAGAGCAGCTGACCTTGGGGAAGCTGAGGGTGGGCAGCCGAGGTATTTACTTAAAGTTGCCTTTCGTCTTGGATCTTGAGAAAGGACACGGGAGCACAGCCTCACCYGCATCATGGAGTGGTCTGCCCGGGCACCCTGGCTGCCAGTGACCTGTTTTTTTAATGTCAGGAGAGGGGTCTGCATCACTGGGAGGGGCTCTGCCCAGAGTGGTCGTGGTCTGGCACCTGCTGGTTCTCTGTCCACTTGGCCCTGGCTCAGAACAGCTGGAGCCAGGGAACAGCTGGCTTGGATCTCCAGGGCAGGACTTTGGGGTGGCCACAAAGGGCCTCTCGGGGATTGCTGTGTTGGTGTGGGGTCCAGCGTGGCCTCTGGTTGCCCTCTTTCCTGGGCTCCGAGGGTGGGGGAGGTCCCTGGCTGCGACTCAGCACGATCAGCCCCTGCCCGACTCAGCACGATCAGCCCCTGCCCGACTCAGCACGATCAGCCCCTGCCCGGCTCCAGCCTGCTCTCCTGGGGGATGAGAGGTGGGCCTTCGAGGCCGCCTGGGGCTGGTTGCCACTCTCCTGCCCACCGGATGGGTAAGTGATGCAATCCTCTGGCGTCTTGCCTCATCCGGAAGGCGGGAGCCGAAGGCCGGGAGCCGGTAGGAGGGGCTGAGTCACCACGTGGTGACACACTCACCTATCAGGAAATGTGAGACTCCTGCAGACGCAGGACCCGCTCCCCGCCCAGCAGAGAGGTGCCAGGCCAGAATAGAAGCTCTGCTGTGTTGCCAGGAGCCCTGGGAAGAGGCCTGCCCCGCTCACCGCCTCCCCCAATGTGTGTCAGGGAGGGGGCTCAGGGACAAACGTGTCCTTGTAGTAGTCAAAATGACCACCTTCAGCACGCGTCAACCATGCCTTCTCAAGGCAGAGTGACCTGTCCGTCGTTACAACAGCCCCAGGACAGAGAAGTCAGGGAGCCAGCTAATGAGGTGCTTCCGAAGGAGTCGGGCCAGCAGGTCCCAGGGCCACCTGCCAGGGGGCTTGCGCTCTCCTCCCTCATGGAGTTGTTGGTTTGAAGCCTGTTTCTCAAACTTTGCAAATGTCTCTAGCAGAGAAGCCCCAGTTGTCTGTCAGGCCTTCTGGCAGCTGCTGCGAAGGGGATCAGGAAAGGCCTTCCAAGGCCTTGTATTGCCCACCTTACAGCAGCCCCCAGGAAGGGCCTGCCTGGGTTCCCTGGTAGACACTGGGCTGGCTCCACGTGGCCGTGAGAGCTGGTGTCTTGGGCGTGGGGACCCTTGGGAGCGCAGGAGGTCCACAGCCAGGGAGGAGCCAGGAGCCCTGGCCCTTTAGCTGACCTCATTTCAGCAGCTATGCGTAGGACGGCTGTGCCACCGGCTCCTGGGCACTCACGGCTCCTGGGCACTCACCGGTGGCTCCTGCACACTGAGATGCCCACCACCCACCCTGGCTCAGGGCTGGATGTCCAGTGGGGCTGGCAGGACCAGCTGCAGGCTTGAGCCCGTGACTCCTGCAGATGCAGATGCCCACCTGGCCCTCCAGGGCACTGGGTTTCAGGCTTTCCCGGTGCAGTTGCGCATGTCTGCAGAAGGTTCCGTGTGGATTTCTGTCTTGGTGTCTGCTAGCYGGGGAGCAGTGGAACTGGAGCGTGCGTCTGTCCCCTGAGCCCACCTGAGTGCCCTGTGTGGGGAGGCCTCCTGCCTCAGGCTCCTGCTCCTCTCCTGCCACCCATGGTGGCTGCGGCCACTTTGTCCTGTTTCTCTCTGGGCCTRTCAGGTGGCCCCTGTTTCATGGGACCCCATGGAGCTCACTTGGGGGCAGAGGTGATGCATCCCTCTTCCAGGGGCAGAGTTGATTTGAGTCTGAAGCTGGCGCTCCCCTGCAGGTGGAGGGCACTTCTGCCCCTCAGGGCAGGTCAGCTCAGTAAAAGGAAGTCCTTTGCCCCAGCCTAGGGCACCAGCTCTTTTGAGAGTTTGGTGATTCCAACCTTTGACCTTCAACCAGGAAGTTGATCAAAACAAGTCCCAGAAAACCTGAAACTGGGGGAGGGGGCTGGTGGGGACACTCCTGTTTCTGTTGGATCTGCCCCCAGCCCCAGGCACCCTGACCTTGCCTGCCCTGTCTCCGCAGTGCTGCTCACGGCCGTGAACTGCTACAGCGTGAAAGCTGCCACCCGCGTGCAGGACGCCTTCGCGGCAGCCAAGCTCCTGGCCCTGGCCCTGATCATCCTGCTGGGCTTCATCCAGATCGGGAAGGGTGAGTGGCAGCTGGCCTGATGCGGTGCTGGGCACCTGCTGCGTGGCCCCAGCCAGGTGGGCCCTGTCCTGGCACCATGCTCCCACATGGGGTGAGTCCTCTGGGAAGGTTGATGCCCTTCCAGGTGGGCAGGGAGCCCCTCCTGCACACACCCCAGGAAGTGTGAGCGCAGRCTGGCCCCCGCGCCCCGGGAGCAGGGCGGGAGTTCAGTTCTCTGCTGTGGGTGCTCACCATCAGGGCACCTTCAGGCCACCTCTAGGGAGGGCCAGGACACTGTCCTGTGAGTGGCCTGCTGCCCTGTGACTGAGCTGGGCTCCTTGTCACACCGCAGGCTGTCCTTGGCAGCTGTGGAGAGGGCCTCCAGGGAGCTCTTGTTGGTGTTCCTTGGCAAATGCAGTGGCCTTGTCCCTGGGCCTGCAGCTGTGTGGCTTTGGATTAAGCGCACACCTTAATCCCAGCTGCTCAGGAGGCTGAGGCAGGAGGATCTTGWGTTCCCAGCCAGCCTCAGCAACTCAGTGAGGTCCTGTCTCTAAATAGAATCCAAAACAGGGCTGGGATGTGGCTCAGTGGTCAGGGCCCCCGAGTTCAGTCCTCAGTACTCCCCCCCCCCCCCCCCCCCAAAAAAAAAAAAACCCCGGAGGATCATTGAGAGCCCCTTGAGAGGGAGTGTCACCCAGGGGGATAGCATAAACCCTAGTGCCTGTCCTCCGTGGGGACCCAGCTGGGGGCATATTCTGAGTGGTGTGGAGACCGGGCCTGCAGGTGAGGAACACAGTCCTCCTCTGTTTAATGGAAATAGATGAGATGAGCAGACAGAGGCCTCTAACATTCGGGGCCGAGCCAGAGCAGCGCTGGGGGAGCCTGTGTTAAGGTACAGACCAGGTTTGGTGGTGACCTTATGGCTCTAGGCGAGTCACTGGGTGTCAGAGTCTTTCCCTGGCCACCTTCTCCGGGGGCTGGGAGGAGTGAAGGGGAGTCCTGTGCAGGTGTGCTCTRGAGGTGTGGATGGACGGGCCACCTTGCTGGGCCTCTTCCTGYCACCTCCTGCACCTTTGCTGCGGGCCCTCCCCCTTCCTTTCCAGGCTGTGGAATGTTCCCTAGCTAAGAGCCTGCGTGGTCTGATCAGACAGTCCTCCTTCGGTGGGTCACAGGCCCTGGACACACACCGAGTGCTGAGGTTGGCCTCTGTGGGCTCTTGGCGGCAGAGGGGTCCTGACTGTTCCTGGCTCTGGGGGAAGGTCACACACCTAGGAAGGCCTGGCCACCCCTCCTCCCCACTGGCCCTGCCCCCCTGGGCTGGTGTTCCCCTGACCTGTGAGCAGGAGAGCTCTGGACGGCCAGGTGGGGCGCCCAGAAACACCCTTTGGAATGTCCGTTCTCCCCAGGCGACYGGCTGCACGGCACAGTCGTCCTGACCAGTGCTGTTCTGTGGCTGTTAGGACCAGGGGTGCCCCTGGGCGGGGGCCGCAGTTCCACGTAGCCAGTGCTTTCGGGACGCACACAGCTCTCAGATGCAGGCTGTCAGCATGGGGTCAGTGCTCGAGGCAGGTTAGCCCAGGGCACCAGGTCAGGGAGGGGGTGGCCGACGAGTGTGTGGGGCATGGGCGCCACCTGCCTTCGGCCATCTTGTCAGATGGCCCTCACTCGTGACACAGCCCGATGGCCTTGGCCCAGGGTCCGGCTGTTCCCAAACACGAGTGGGCGGCTGGAACSTGGCTTTTGAGGCCAGGGTGGGAGTGGGAAGGAGGGCCCCTCCCCGCACTGCTGCTGGGGAGGCACAAGGGGGCCATTGTGGCTGACACCCAGGGCGGGACCTGCTTATCTCTCTCCAGCAGTCAGGCTGGGTGGACGGTGGTGGGAGAGGCCTTCCTAGAGCCTTTCTCYTCCTCCTCGTGCCTCCCGGGAGCGGTCTGGGTCAGACCCCCTCGCTGCCCACCCAGGGCCCAGACTCCCACTGCGTCACCTGCCGGGGGCTGGAACKCGGAAGTGAGTGTTCCACAGCGCTCTTAGGTTGGCCAGGTCCCCCAGGCTCAGAGCAGTGCAGTGTCCCATCCTGTGGCTCCCGAGCAGCAGCTGTGGCATGCAGGCATGCTGGGGCCTCGAGGTCTGTTCCTGAAGGACCTGAGAGGTTGCCGGAAGCCACCACCACCCTGCTACCTGACACCGAGCTCCTGCTGGCTTCCCACCGGGCCCAGGGCACCTGGGAGTCCGGCTGGGGTGGCCAGGGTGGGGACCCTACGCCCTGGATGCTGAGAGCAGCTTCTGGCAGGGTGGGTTCCAGCCAGGGGCCACCTGAGCTTTGTAGAAGGCACCTGCCCACAGTCACTTCACCTGGTGGTCTCCACAGATAAGGACACTTCCCTTTGTYCTCTCTGCCTTCAGCCACTTCTCCCAAGCCCACTTGCAACCCCAGCTGCAGGAGTCTCAGGACTCTGAGCTGGGGACACCACTCGGTCCTCCTCAGACCTGYGCTCAGGGCCACCCCTGCCAGCAGGGGGTGGGATCCTCAAAGTGAATCCTAAATAGTCCAGGGGCTTCACCGAGAAGAAGCCAGCCACTGCTCAGCCTCAGGCTGCCAAAGCAAAACTTAGAGGGACCCCCCCCCAGGCCAGCCCCCCCTTACAGGGGTCCAGGGAGCCGGTCGACGGGGGGTTCTGGTGGACTTGGGTCACTCTAGAACGGGCTTGGCCTGCCCAGGGCCTCCAGGCACCCTCTGGATTCATGCCAGACTCAGGGTCAGACCTCCRCAGCGGGTGACCCAGGCCCTGGAGACAGGAGTGCCGGGCCATGTGGCATCCTCATGGGGCCTCTGTGGCCACTTCAAGCTCTGTGGTCGAGGAAGCTACTGCCCAGGGAGGCCGCTCTCCCGCTGGCGCTCCTCGAGAGCTCTGAAGTGCGTCCTTGCATCGCAGGAATGACGGGTGTGGAAGTCACGTGTGCCACTTGTGCCAGCAGGGTGGGGTCAGAGGGCAGGAAGATGGGCTTCCAGTGCCCCGGGCCAGTCAGCACAGGATGGAGGCTGGGGAGCCCGAGCAGGACGAGGGGCAGTCACTGCCATGGCCCTGGCAGGGGCCCTCTACTGCCCTTGGCTGTGGATTGGGAAGGCCTTCCTACTCAGGGTGGCCGGGCAGAGCTGCTCTCCAGGCGAAGGGGCTGGTTCCACCTACGTGTGGTGCTGGGAGTCAAAGCCAGGGCTGCGGATGCCAAGTCTAGGATGCCCGCTCCTAGACTTCCAGAAGCCAATGCCACTCACCGTGGTGGACAGATGCCATCTGGTCCTAGCCGTAATCCCCAGAACCAGGTTTCTGCCGTGTCCACGTTCCCAGACTTAAGGCGAAGGCAGACCGATATGGGCCTGCACTCAGGCCAGGGGTCAGGCAGAGAGAGCCCTGGGGTGGCCAGCACCGCGCCTTCTCCTGAGCCYGCTGAGTCAGCAGCCACACAGAGCAATGGAGGCCCTGAGTCTGAGGCCCCACCAGTGTCCACCCAGCACCAGCCAAGGGTCAGCCCATCTTCCAGAGAGGGAATTGCCCAGAACTAGGGTGGCGTGTCCGAGACACAGTGGGGCACCTTGGCCTGTTGGCACGTAGGATCCCCCAGCACTGGGTGGCTGCGACAGCTGATGTTCATCTTAAGGCAAAAGGGCTGCTTCCGTGGACTTCAGATGCCCATCTGCCATAGTCCTGGAGGTCTCAAGTCCAAAGTCAAGGTGTTGTCAGGACCGTCCTTCCCAAGTGTCCAGGGGAGGGCGTAGAAGAAAAGAAAAGATAATTGAAACCAGAGTCCTTGGGGAGGGTTAGGTTGGGGCTCCAGCTTGGGGCTCCAGGCGTCCCTGAGCCCGTGGCTGCTTCGCCCCAGGTCTGCCTCCGTCTCTGCCAGACGTGGTGGGGACACCTGTCTGATTCCTGAGGGTCCCACCACAGCCYTCGCTGGCCCACTCAGGCCATCTCTTCAGATAGGGCTCCCCTGCCCTCAGGCGGCGAGCCTCGCGCTTCAGCGCCTTCCTCTGTCTGACCGCTGTGCTGGAGCCCAGAGGCAGAGTGAGGGACAGGATGGCAGCTGTCYCCAGTGGAAGCGGGGCCTCCCTGCAGCAAGTGTGCCTGGGCTGGCCTGGGGTGGGCTTCTGAGGCTCCCCCGCCTCCCAGCACAGGAGGGAGCTCAGAGCTGGCCGTCTCCAGGTCACGGGTTTCCCAGGCCTGKGCCCTGGCAAGCTGTAGCCAGGGCTTTCCTCGACACGAGGGCCAAGCAGATCTCGGGGGACACAGTGGCCATGGGGAGCCTCTATCCTGAGTCAGGGCCACAGGGCTGGCCACGTCCCGGGTGGGAAGAGTTTGATCTCAGTCCCATTCCCTTATGCACTTGGCCATCAAGGGGACCCTCCCTCCCCGGCATCTGTCAGGGGCAGCTCCCTGTCCCCCGGGGTGGGTGGTTCCCATGGCTGCACTGGTGTGACAGGGACGGGGACTCTTTCCCTGAAACCTCTCTCCTGGGACTCTGCACCCGCCCACCCTCACCCCAGTTCTCAGGCCCCACCAGCTCCCAGGGCCATGCGGCCTCTGGTTTGCTGGGCTCTGCCTCTGGTTTGCTGGGCTCGGCCTCTGGTTTGCTGGGCTCGGCCTCTGGTTTGCTGGGCTCGGCGCTGCTTGTGCTCGGCTTCCTCCAGCCCCTCAGGAAGGCGCGTTTTGTGGGTGGGGATGGGGACACCCAGGGGAGGGACTTCAGGGGCTGCTACAGGCTGCCAGCCAGGAACTGCCTAGGGCGGAGTCACTGCCCCTGGGTGGCCAGAGCAGGAGAGGAGGCAGTGAGGCCCTGGCACCTCCGTGTGGTAGGAGCTGCTTTGTGCTGGGCCCAGGCCTGCACCCAGCTCTGCTGGGTCCACTTTGTCCTTTCTGTCCGTTCCCTGAGCTGGCAGYGCCGTCCTTTCCATCCATGGCAGCTTGTGGGAGTCACCTCTGCCTGGCCTGTGCAGTGGGGGACAGGCCAGTGTGACCCAGCCTGGGGCTGCRCCATGCATTTCCAGACATTGAGCAGCCACTCTGACCTGAACCCTTCTGTGTCACCCAGTTSTGGCAACCTGGAAAGTGTCCAGGCATCGCGGGGTGGGACTGCCATTCTGGGGTCATCTTCCCAGGAGGGTGCATGTCTCCCRTTTCTCCTTGGGGCCAGCACCAGCCTCCCACAGAACCGCTGCCACCCTGCGTGGGTGGCCTTGCTGCCTCTGGCTGCCCTGGAGAGGGCAGGGACCAGCCTCCCTGAGCAGAGCTGTGGCTGGCAGCACAGTTGGGGCAGGTAGAGCCTGGCTCTGWACGGTCACCCCCAAACCACATCAGGCTGTGCCAGCCCCAGCCCAGGGACAGCTCGGGGTCCAGACCAGCAGACCTAGCACCACCCCATGGCACCTGTGGAGAGAAGGTAGCCTGTGATTGGTCAAGTGGCCAGTGGAGCTGTGGCCTCCCTCCTGGGCCAGTATCCAGTGTAGACGGAGGCTGGCCACACTCCTGGGCTCTGCTGCTTGCTGAGGTCCTTGAACACCTGTTGCACCCCATGCTCCCTCTGTCCCTGGTCAGGCAGGGCAGCCAGCCTCCAGGGCCTCGGTGTCAGTTGGGGGCCCACACCAACAATCTTTGGCAGAGCTTCACCTCCCGGGGGACTTGAGCCTGCCCTCCCACTGTCTCCCACCCGATGGCAGGTGGGAAGCTGGAGCTGACCAGCTGTGCTCAAGGCTGTGTGGTCTGGGGTACTGTCCCATTGCACCTGGGCAGCCGTCTCCTCCAGGGGAGGTCCTGGTAGGGTGGCCCCAGCCACACTGTCCCAGGAACAGAGCCACATGGCTGGTTGGGAGGACCTGGTCCAGCGTGCGCTTGGCTGTCTCAGGCCACCAAGTCGAGCCGAATCCCAGGAAGTCCTGTCCTGTAGTAGGAACTCTGTCCCTGGGGACCATCTTGAGTGATGATTGCACCCTGAGCTGGTGGCCAKAGTGGTGTGCCACATGGGCACTGGGGTCACCAAGGCCTTGGGCTGCAGGTATCTGGCTCTGACTAGGAGACCTCAGCATGTCCCCAGCCCCATGTCTTGTCCTTAGTGGGTAAGAGGCTGCTATTGTCCAGTCTGGAGGGCAGTGGTGGTGACCCATGGGTAAAACAGGGATCTGAAGTGTCCTGTGTGCTGGCTTGGTCCAGTGCTGCTCACCAGCAGGCAGGCATGTGTCCCTAGTCCCTGGGGCTTACTCTGCCGTAGCACTATGGGTGGGTCTTACTCAGGCTGGCAGATCCTCACACCCCTGGCCCATGCCTTAGTTTCCCCACTTGTAGGACAGATGCCCTCCCTCCCAGCAGAGTGGCTGGGTTCTTCAGAAGTAAGGTACTCCAGAATATTCTACTGGAGAGCAGGTGGGTTAGAACCTCGAGGGGCTGTGGGCAGCTCAGCTGAGGCGTTGTTGAAAGTGCCTGTCCTGAATGCCTGTCCCCAGCCCACAGGGTCCAGCCAGCTTGCTGACCACAGTATGAGCAGGAGGCTGTTCCCCAGGGATGGGTGAGGTTTTCTTGGGATGCCAGTCCTGGTGGCAGGTGGGTCCGCGGCCTCCCAGCCCAGTTGCGGGAGACTCCCAGGTCCAGCGCTATAAGAACATGGACCCGAACCTGAGGCTGTCCACCCTCCAAGGGGCCCCAGCAGTGTCTGCTGTAGGAGGTCCTGTGCTGCGTTTGAAGCACAGGCTTCAGGTGGGTGAATGACCAGTGGACCCTTCGTGGGTCCCCCCAGTGTTCTCTCCTGCCATCCTACTGGGGTCCCTTGGCAAATGGGGTGGTCACCCTCATTGAGCCAAGTGGTGACCTTGACCCGAATGGGCAGCAGTGGCCAAGTCTGCAGAGCTGCCTGTCCTCTCTTGGAGTGGCCCAGGCTCTGGCCAGGCCAGGCCCCTCCATGACAGGGAGGGACCCAGCTCTCTTCTGCCCGGGAAGGCGTCCGGGGCTCAGCAGGCTGTTCAGGTGGTGGCAGGGAGTGGCCCYGCGTCCGCGTCCGCTGGTTCCCGTGCCCTGCTCTGCCTGGCATCCTTTGACCAGCGTTCTCTTGTGGTCTTTGCCAGGTGGCGTGTCTAATCTGAACCCAGAGTTCTCCTTCCAAGGCACCAACCTGGACGTGGGCAACATCGTGCTGGCCTTGTACAGTGGCCTCTTTGCCTACGGAGGATGGTAGGTTCCAGGACATCTGGCCACTTCGGGGTCTCACAGCACTCAAGTGTGCAGCTGGGGACAGGCAGGACAGACACTGGAAGCCCTCTCAAGGGCATCCCAGCCCCAGGCCGCCCTGAAGGGCCGTGAGAGGACCCCTGAGGCCTCCGTAGCACGTGTCCCTCTCTGTGTCCTCGGAACAGGCACAAGGTAGAGGCTTGCAGCCTCCCCAGCTGGGACCTGCCTGCAGCTCTGTGGCCAGCAGGTGGGAAGGTGCTAGAGGGAGGTGAGTGGGCAGGGATGCGGGAGAGCAGGAGCAGGTGGGAGTGACCGCCAGGTGCGCCCAGGCCCTGGCCTTCCCTGCTTGCCGGGGTTGGCTCTGATGGGTGGGGTGAGGGGCGCAGGGTTATGGGGCTCCCTGCTGAGTCTGTATCTTTTCCCTAATGGTTGTGGGGTGACATAATGAAACCTGATTTCTAGGAATTACCTGAACTTTGTCACAGAGGAGATGATCAACCCCTACAGGTAGGTGGAGGGGTGAAGGAGACATCACAGGGACAAGCTGGTTCCACCCTAAACCCTTTGGTGGGCTGGCTTCTGGGCCCCGTCCACCTGTGAACTGGAGTAAGCCTTGCCCTGGGAGTGGACCACATGTGCCCCCKGACACCTGTCCTGCATTAGACGCCCTCGGCAGCCCCAGGCACACAAAGGGTGGTCCTCTGTCCTGGACCACTCCAGCGTGTGTATGAAGGCCCCCAGGGTCTCCTGGGTGGGGACTGGTCAGGGCTGTGGGCCTTCAGCAGGACCCCATCAGGGGCAGCGAGGCAGGCAGATGGAGCCACTGGCCAGGCGGCCCTGCTCCCCAGGCCCAGGCATCTGGCCCCTGCCCGAGAAGCCAGCTGAGACGGGGACGAGCAGGGCTGTGCTCCAACAACCAGTCCCTCCCTGTCGTAGGAACCTGCCCCTGGCCATCATCATCTCCCTCCCCATCGTCACCCTGGTATACGTGCTGACGAACCTGGCCTACTTCACCACGCTGACCACTGAGCAGATGCTGACGTCCGAGGCTGTGGCCGTGGTAAGGCAGCCGCCCGCCTCCCCAGGGTCCAAGAGCCCGAGACCAGGCTGTCCCCCATGTAAGCCTCTCACCTACCTGGAAGGGCCATGCGGCTGTCCTCAGTCTCCATGGAAGGTGTCACAGGAGGGCTCCCCCGCTGGCCGGAGGTGTGGCGTCCTYCTCCACCTTGGCTGCGGGGAAACCACAGGGGGCACCAGGCGGCCTCCACCATGATCAGCGTGTCTGCGGTTGGTCAGGTGGAAAGACTGCCCCTGGGCTGTGTCCTTGGCCTCTGTGGCTCCTGCCCCTTGCCCTCCCATGCGGAGGGGAGCAGGGTGTCCTTGCTGTGGCTGAGTCTCACTTGATTCAGATCCTGCGCTTGCAGAGAGCCACTCACCAGGCCCTGTGAGAGTCCCCAAGTGAGGCAGGCAGATCCTCGTCCCCAGACCCGCACCTGCTCTTGGTCAGGCCAGGGGCCAGCTGGGCATGGCCAGGCAACCCAGGGAGGCCCACCAGAGGGCCTGCCATCAGGAGCAGCCAGAGTGCCACCTTGTGAGCAGGACTGGGACAGCCAGGGAAGGGCCACTGTCCTGAGCTGTCCCCACAGTCCAGAACTGATCCCAGGGATGGCTGTGTGTGCAYAAGCAGGATTAGGCCAGGTGGGTCCTGGGTCGGCCCTGGTGAGGTCCCAGGGCTCACATCCTTGTGTCCCTGCAGGACTTTGGGAACTACCACCTGGGAGTCATGTCCTGGATCATCCCCGTCTTTGTGGGCCTGTCCTGCTTCGGCTCTGTCAACGGGTCCCTGTTCACGTCCTCCAGGTGAGTGCCCGCCTGGGGTCCAGGGAGTGTCCGGCTGCCAGCCCCTCATCTGCTTTAYAGCCTGTGCTTTGAAGTCCTGTTTGTGGTGTGTAGAGGTTGGGATGACAGGGAGGCGGGAAGTGTGACCTTTGCCTTCGCCCTCCCTGGAGCTGGTGTGACTGCTGCGTCCTGCAGGCCCCTTCCTGGACTGCAGGAGTAACACCAGGAGGGCTGGCGGGACGCCACCAGGGCTCCTGCCCCTGCCCCTGGGACCCACCTTGCTGGGTGCGGTCCACCCTTCAGCTGTCTGTAGGCACCTCCATCCACGGGTGGGGTCCTGGGCCTGACTGCTCACTGCTTTGTCCACAGGCTGTTCTTCGTGGGGTCCAGGGAAGGCCACCTGCCCTCGATCCTGTCCATGATCCACCCACAGCTCCTGACACCCATGCCATCCCTTGTGTTCACGGTAAGCCTGCCACACAGCCCTGCACCCTCCGCCCCGCCACCTGTGTTGTCTAGGTGGACCCAGTGGCGCTCTGGGCTCTGGAGCAGCCAGAGCGCCACCTGGTGACCAGGACTGGGACAGCCAGGGAAGGGCCACTGTCCCTGAGCCGTGGACGGTGACTGGGATGCTGCAGGGGCTGGGAGCTCTAGTCAGCCAGGCCCCGGGCACCGAGAAGGCACTTGAACTCTGCAGCACGTGCTGGTGTGGACAGTCCCACTGCCGAGGCTGTCCGGGCACCTCTGGGGCTTGGGCATGCGTCCACCGTGCACTTTTCTCTCTCCTTCTCTGAGCCTGTTTGTTAGTTCTCTGCTTCTGTGTGACAGCCACCCAACCCGGGGCCCAGAGCACAAAGCCTTTACCTTCCCACATCCTGCAGCGCCAGCGCGGGCCGCCCACCTTGGTCTCAGAGCTTGATGACTGCAATTGGCATGCTGCCCTCCAAGGGCATGGCAGGGGCTGTGGACAGGAGGCCAAAGGTTGTGGGCACACGGGCTTCTCCACAGGGATCTTGGGCACCCTGGCGATGGGACGCTGGCTCCCGCTGCACATGTGATCCAGAGAGCAAGACGGCCACGTGCTTTGTGACCTAGCCCCGGCCGGGTCTGCTGTCCTTGCTGCCTGGGCCTGTTTGTTAAAGTGCCATTCCTCGGGGAGCAGGGTTAGGCTCCACCTCTTAAAGAGAGAAGTATCACAGAAGTTCCGGACATGCTTAAAGGGCCAGCTTGACCTTGGTTTTGAAACGGCCATCTGTGTAGTGTGGGGATTCTGTACTTACTATGATCCCCAGTTGGTGGGTGCATAGTTTAGTTCCAGGTTGCTGCTTTGATGCAGGGTRTGCAAGAAGCGTTGGGTCCAGGCATCTGTGCCTGCTCTGTGGGCAGCACCTCCACTGTCCTGGAAGCCCATCGCTCTCCTGGCCTCTCTGCACCTCACACGACCCCCATGTGCTGGAGGCTGAGGCTGGTCACGATCCTCCCTGGACCAGGCACGGCCCTGCCCAGGGCTCAGCCAGCCCCTTTCTCCTGGCAGTGCGTCATGACCCTGCTGTACGCCTTTTCCAAAGACATCTTCTCCGTCATCAACTTCTTCAGCTTCTTCAACTGGCTCTGCGTGGCCCTGGCCATCATCGGTATGGTCTGGCTCCGCTTCAAGAAGCCCGAGCTGCAGCGGCCCATCAAGGTGAGCACTGGCGGTGGGTCCAGCCAGCACCCCAGGCAGAGAGCAGGCAGGGCTGGAGTGTCCCCAGGAGCCTGAGGCAGGAGCGGGACCCGTAGGACCTACCAGTCTCCACCCCCGCCCCAGCAAAAGGGCATTGCTGCCCTCTGGAGGGCTCTGAGAACTGGGGGCATGGCAAYTGGGAGTCCTGGGAGCAACAGGTGGCCACTGGCAGCAGCTCCTTTTGGTACTAGGTCATGATGACTGGCCCCTGCCACAGGCCTTGCCCTGTCCCCACCCCACCCCAGCTGTCTTTAGAGACGGGAAGAGCCTGGCTCTCTGGAGGGAGCCCCGTGACTTAGTGCCCAGGACGCCCTGGTCTCCCCTTGCCCGGGCCTGGGAGCTCAGGTAGCCAGTGTAGCACCTTTTAACATGTGGTTACTGTTCCACCTGACGAGGGCCCACAGGAAGGCTGTTGGAGTGGCCAGCTAGACACCCCACCCTTCACAGGGACCAGCCCAACAGCTGGGGCAGGTGTCCACAGGAGGGCTTTGTGCAGGCACCAGGTCCTGCGGGCACGCCTTCCCAGGGGACTGGGCACTGTCGTGGAGTCGGTTCCCTTGAGCCTGGCCGCCTGTGGGTGCAGGACAGCAGAGCTCTCAGAACAGGCCTGTCGGCTCCGCCCACAGACACAGAAGCTGGCTCTGCTGCCCAGGCCTCTGSGTCCCCCGCCTTCCTGTGCCCCGGCTTCTGCCCCAGCCTGTCTGCAGGCCGCGGGTTTGGGGCAGGAGTGCCTGGTCCACCCACAAAGGGCCCTCTGAGCAGGCAGGACTCTGCTTGCTGGTGGGTGGCCAGGCCTTCCCAGAGGCTCCGAGTCTGTGATGTGGGAACCAGCAGCCCCCGGAGCCCCCGGAGCCCGGCTGCTTGTTTTCATTCCTCTGCTGACTTGGCCATTCCATGCCTGGTGCCTGTGCCTGGGCCGGGGTGAAGTGCGACGGACGCGGGCTCAGTTCGTGCCCCGGGGCCGACCCTGCGGAAGGTGCAAGTCAGCGCCTGCCCTGTCAGCACAGGCACTGGCCGGGGCTGTGGGTGGGGCGGGCGCAGATCCCGGGGAGGCTCCAGGGTGGCACGCCGCCGGCCACAGGACATGGGCTGGAGCTCTCCGTGGGCTGGTGGAGTTCACTCAGCGGGGTGTGGTGGTCGGGAGGAGCCCAGGCCCAGATGCTGACGCCCTGCTGCGTGCYGTCCCCAGGTGAACCTGGCCATGCCGGTCTTCTTCATCCTGGCCTGTCTGTTCCTCATCGCCGTGTCCTTCTGGAAGACACCTGTGGAATGTGGCATTGGCTTCGCCATCATCCTCAGTGGGCTGCCTGTCTACTTCCTCGGGGTCTGGTGGCAGAACAAGCCCAAGTGGCTCCTCCAGGGCATCTGTGAGTGTCCAGGCAGCTGGCCKAGATGGGCTGGCAGCAGCCAGGCCTTTGGCCACTGCAGGGTATCAGTGGTGAGGACACCCACCTACTCCCAGTTCAGGAGCTGGGCAGCAGCTCATCTCAGAAAGGGGTTCCCGAGAACCAGGCTGCTGCTGCCAGAGAAGTGCCCACTGTCGCTCACCAGCCTTGACACACTTCCTGACCTTCCTGGGCAGAGCAGGAGAAGGCGCCAGGCCCGGGTGGTCCACATCAGAGTGGGCCCTGTCCTCACCCGTGTGGAAGGCCAGGCTTGAGAGAGTCCGCACCTTAGCTCTGGGTGACCTAAGATTCTAGGGTGGCCCCTGTGCAGGCGAGGAGACCCACACCAAGGGCTGAGCCACCCTCCAGCCTGGGTCCCTGTGGAATCTCATGCAGGGTCACACCCAGAGCAGACTTAAGACAGAAACCTTGTTCTGAAACCACCCGCCTCCCTCCCCAGGCAGGCTCTGCATAGAAAGTGCCAGGGTGGCCCTGGAGGTGGCTGGGGGGGGGGGGGCTGGCCAGGCAGCACCACAAAGAAAAAGGAGAGAGAGTGCCAAGCGGTTCCTGGGGCCCCTGGCAGGCAGCCTGGTCTCAGGGCACAGTGGTGACGTGGGCAGTCTCAGGGCACAGTGGTGACACGGGCAGTGTGAGCCGGGCACACGCACAGTGGCGAGGCCACCAGGTTGCTGTGCAGTCACAGGGCTCTGGGGTGGGCAGCTGCACCTGCTCCCACACTCCTCGCCCGCTGGCTCGGGCAGTCTGGCATGACGGAGAGTTGCAGAATGTGCTGCTGGCCAGGAGGCCCTGGGGAGGCGCCAGTGCTGACCACACGGTCTGGAGGGCCACACAAAACTCGGAGTTCCTGTCCTGCAGCTTGGCTCAGTGTGGGGACAGGTCGGGTGGGAGCTRGGCTTCGTCTCCACAAGAAGGACGCCTGGCCCAGCCCGTGGCCTGGCCGCGCTCACTCTGTGTCCTCTCCCGCAGTCTCCACCACCGTCCTTTGCCAGAAGCTCATGCAGGTGGTCCCGCAGGAGACCTAGCTGGCGGCAGACGCTGCGGCAGGGAGCACGC